GGGGTATTGGAGGCAGTGGGGCAGAGTGGGATGACTGGGGAGGCAGGGACCTGGGGTGTTTGGGGGCAGTGGGGCAGAATGGGATGACTGGAGGAGGCAGGGGCCTGTGCTGTGGGGCAGACTGGAAATACTGAGAAGAGATAGTGGTCTGGTGTTTGGGCAGGAGCAGGACAGACTGGGAAGGCTGGAGGAGGTCTTGGCCTGGGACAGGGATGATCCTGTGTCACTGAGGCACAGTGAGAGGGAGGGAGCTGGGTGCAATGTGAGCTTGGTGGGGCCAGGAGGCTGTCTTTCCTGGGGAGCACCCTCTGTCCCTGTCCCCTGAGAGGAGGGTGAAGGCTGAGGTGTGGGCAGGGGTACAGTGGAGCTGACTGTTGCTGAGCATCGCTGTGAGGTGGTTTAAGAGGCTGTGCCGCTTTGCGCCTGGCAGGTCTTCTCTGTCCCCTTTCCTACTGAGTAGAAAACTTGGAATGTCCCAGGCTGCTGAGTGCCATTAGCACCAGAGAACTGTGGGATTGCCCTAAAATGGGGGAAATGGGCAAGTCTTGAAACTGGAAACCCTAATCTGTTACATGTTGTGTAGTTATATCAGTCAGTCAGGACTTGAAACAAATTCTGGTTATGTTTTTGAAGAACTAAGGATAAGGCTGGTGAAGCTGGTGGAATTTCCTTTTTTTAAAGTTGCATTCTCTTTCGTTACTTTATTCTGCGTTTCTCTGTGGCTTTTTCCTGGTGTGCAGCTTTGATGTGTTATAATTTAGGAGCATCTGTGCCTCTCAGATGCATGCTGGTGCAGTGTTTACTGTAAGCGTGTTTAAAGGTCTTTCAGATGGAAACTTTACCAGTGTATTAAATTAGAAATAATTATGCAGTTATGCATAATAATGAAGTTATTTTACATTCTGGCTAGTGACATGAGTAGTGTTGCTTTTGTGGCTTCTCTCCCCCCTGCCCCCGTTTCCCCTACCACGTTTGAAACTCTGCCTAAGGCATTATGTAAGGACAATTCTAGATCTTGTTTCAGGTGAACTTGTAAAACGGGTCGGGTAAAGATAATTTAGATCTTTTAAAATGCAGAGGCTTTCGCCACTAGAGGACACTGCCTGCGCAGCCAAATGCTTTTTAAAAAGGTATGGGCTAGAGAATCATACAGCTAGTTTTCCTTGATGTCAATCAGATTTTCATCAGATCTCTTGTAATGAAAGATTAATAACCTTTCCATTTAGTGGAGCACTCTACAAAAGGAAATTCAAAGGGAAGCTCTCTCTTATGCTACAGTCTAATGGTCAGGGAATGTTTTTCCTTTAGCAGAAGGATAAGTGCATGACTCTAAATTAGGTCTTATAAGTAGGTGTTAGTGCTGCTAGAGAGCTCTGAGGCTCACCTAAAGAAACCAATGAAGCCTCCACCTTGCCACTGAGTGGGACTATTCAGCAAGACAGTTATAACTAAACCTCCTATTTTCCCATAGTTATTGCATCAAAACCCCATGTGCTGGTTGATATAGGTTTAGTTCCAAGCCCTGGCTGACTCTCTGGTAGTCAGAGCTACTGTGATGCTTTTTGCCACAGAAAGGAAGATTATTAGGGAGCTTTTTGTTCCAAACCTCATCAACTCGAGAGAAAGCTCTGACTTGATGCTTGTGCCTTGCTGCTGAGACTGGGATCCTATGTGCTGAGTGATGCCTTCGTGAAGCAACGCAGGCCCTATGAATCCCTGTTGTTTTCCTTTCTGCAGGAGCTAAGTGTGGCTCTGTACAGGCATCTGCTTGGCCTTGAGGAGGGCGAAGGTGGCCTGGATCAGCCTGCAGCTGGAAAGGATCTGAACCTTCTGTGCTGTGACATTGATCCTGTGTTGATTGAGAGGGCTCAGCAGTGCAGTCCCTTTCCTGCCTCCATATCCTTTGCCAGCCTGGACATCATGGACTGCAGTGCCAGGGGGCCGTTCTTGAGCTCCCACCTGAGCCGTTTCGGCCGCTCTGCCTTTGATATTGGCTTTTGCATGTCTGTGACCATGTGGATCCACCTGAACCATGGGGATAGTGGCCTGATAGAGTTCTTGTCCTTCCTCTCCTCTCTGTGCAAGTACCTGCTGATTGAACCGCAGCCATGGAAGTGCTACAGGGCGGCTGCACGCCGCCTGCGGAAGCTTGGCAGAAATGACTTTGATCACTTCCGATCTCTTGCTATCAATGGGGACATGGTGGAAAGGATAACGGAGATCTTAACGAAGGACTGTGCCATGGAATTGGTGTGTTGCTTTGGTAACACCAGCTGGGACAGAAGCCTGTTGCTTTTTAAATCAAAGAGATCAAATCATGAGGGCAGGGAGCCCTCGGAACAGGAGCAGGGCTGTGATTGACAGAAATGGCCTCTCACATTCATGAGTTCTTAGGAAAGAAGGTGTGTACTGGTTACAGAGTCAGATCCAGGAATTGCTAAATGCCTGTCAGGATCATACCTTGACTTCCCAAGGGAATTTGGGGCAAGTCACATTTGTGTGTGGTGTGCGTTTGTTTTTGTTCTTCTCTATTTGCGAAATGCAGTGACGGTTTTAACCTGCCTTGTGGGTTCTGAGATTTCCGTTCCTAGAAGGTGCTCTTGAAACAAAAGTTGCCAGAGATGTGCTTTCTATGTGTATCAAGAATATTCCCTGGAAGAAAAGAAAAGAAAATGTGCCTTTTCAGTCCCCAGAGCTTTTTAAGGAAGGGGAAGGAAATTGCATTTCTGTTGGCCCATGTGATACGTTGTTTTGCTTCTTGTCATGTTTTCCTCTATAAAATACTTTGGGAAAATATATAATCTGTTTTATCAGCCATGAGCAAATAATTTGGGTCATTGCATAGGTTGTTTGTTTGGTCAATATTTTGGTCAGGCTGTGATCAGTACACCTTTGTTTTTATCAGGTAAGACTTGCATGGGATATGCTTTGAAGCCTGACAGTGGTGTGAGTGTGTCTGTGTGTGTTTTGTTGTGGTTTTTTTTTGGCAGAGTGACTTTTTATGATATATGTATTCATTTAACTGTATAAAAAAAGCTCTTTGTAACAGTATCCTTGAAATAAAAATAATTTATTTTTATCATAAATACTTTGCTGTTTTTTAATCCTCTTGTTCACATCGCTCTCAAAACCTGAGCAGTGTCAGGCAACAGAGTTTATAACTTCTCTTGTATTCGCAGGCTCTAATGAGACTTTGGTAAGCTTAAAGCTTAAACTGTGCTTGGCTAAGGTTAAAGGTTGTTTTTGTTAAATCTGGGAGGGGGAAAAAAAAGGAAAAATCTGGCATCAAGAAAAAGTCTTAATTAAACTGCATTTTAATTCCTTTAATGCCTCTAATGGTTTTAGTTCATACATAGTTAGCATTTCTGTTAGCTTTGATAATTAAGTAGGATTCATGCTTCTATGGTGTTTAAAAGATTAAAAACCCTACCTGAGTAGATTATGGTGCACAGAAATAGATAACTGATGACTCTTATGAATTTGTAGGTTCTGCTGTTTCCTTACTGCAAAGTGAGAAGGAAGCCTAGGTATGTGCTGTGAGCCTTGTGCCCTTAGAGGGAAGGTGCTGCAGAAACGGAGGAGAGGAGGCAGCGTCCTCCAGGAGGTGCTCTTGTCTAGCAGTTCTTGTGCTCAAGTGAGTCTGTGCGGAGGCATTTTAGTTTCTGTCCTTACTGGTACTTCCTGGTTGTTCATAGTGATAGTAACAAAGAAAGCACCTTGATTTCCTCCATAATGAGCTCAGATCAAAGGCTGAGGTGCCAGTGCTCTGCTTGGCTGGCTAAACACTTCTGCATGTGAAGCTGCTGGAATCTGTGAATGCATACATGGACACACACACTCTTCATGTATTTGTGACAGGACTGTGTAGGGTCACGGAAGAGCTCTGAGGCTCTCTACCTAAATGCAACTTCCACAGCATTTGGCTACTTCTGCTGGAAAATGTTTAGGACCCACCCCTGAGAGTGTGGAAGCTTCTCTGCCTCCCCAGCTGCAGACAAATCACCATCACCAGGGAAGAAGCAATTTTGTTACTTAAAATAGGACAGACTTTAACTATCCCTGTGGGAGGGAAGGGAAAACCAATTTGTCCTGTATTTTCCAGAGGTGCCTGATCAGGTGAAGTGCCTGATCTCTTGTTATTTATCACTTTGGTAATTAAGCACCTCATCTGACACTCGTTGTAATCTATGGGTAAGCTCCACTGACTCAAGGGGTGCTGACTCACCTGACACACTCGGCAGCTCAGCCTCCCTTTTCATTCTGCTTAGCTGTTGTTTCCTGTGTTGTGCAGCTGGTGGCACTGGAGTATCGTGCAACCTACAGCCCTGGCCCTTGAGAGATTTTGTTGCATTGTGTCAATATTTGTTGCTGCTTACTTTGAACTTTAAAATACTTGGAGAATGAAACTGGATTGTGTGTTGAGCGCTCACCTTGAAGGGGAGTACAGGTTTTCCTGCACTTCACCATGGGGATTTATACGCTTGCCCTTGAATTTTTTGCAGAGTTGCCAGGAAGGCCAACAACCCAAAGAATAACATTTAGACTCTCTCTGCACCCGTCTGGAATGACCTTCCCCTTCGCCAGAGAGGCCCTGTCTTACAATTCTTATGCTCTGGGCGATAGATCAGTGTTTTCCTGGGGGATTCCTTTGGGATGCTTGTTGAAAGGTGGTGCATTTTTTTTCTTTCTCTTCCTAATGTGTGCTGATCATGTACAGACCTGCAAACCAGCTCAATGCATATGCAACAGTATAATGATTTCTAACTTCTGTCAAGTCTGGGCTATTAAGCTGCTGATATCAGTATGTCCCACTGTCTCTAAAATGGCTCCAAACTAGCCCTGTTTTGGCTTTGGCACCATGGTATGTTTTATTTCTCTTCCCTTGCATATAGCTACAAATACAGCTCAAAATGATGTCCGTGCAAATTCCTGTGTAGTTTTTGAAACATCAGGTAGCTCAGAATGGATTCAGTCCTTTAGCAGACAGGAGAAAAATCCTCCTCTTTCCTTTTCTTTCCAGCTTGTTGCCTCTGCTCTCCAGGAAGTTGTCCGGACGTGAGAGACTCAGTGGTGGGAGCCCAGTTCTGTGACATAGCAGTAGAAGAAACCCTGTGGATTTGAACTGCAGTGCTTATGTAAGGCTCTGGAGTATTTATTTTCTTTAATACTCTGTCCGTTTTGCAACGTGCTTAAAACATGTTCATGGGTCTCCTGAAGGCAGGGGGGAGAGAAAATAAAGGTGAGAGTTAGAATGAGCACTTCTGCTCCCTATTGCTCAGAGCTCTTTTCAAAGTTGGGTGGTTATTGTTCTGCTTCATCTGACTGGGGAAACGGAGATGTTGCTTGCTTGGTTGAGGTTCTGGGGGTGGTGACCCTTGTAGAGCTTGGAGAACCTGAGTTAGGGGGATGGTGAAGCTGGTGCAGAGGCCTCTGTGCTGAAAGTGCTGCTTGTTCATCTCCTCTGCCATCCAGGGATGGGGCAAGCTTGGCAGCGGAGGCAGCTGCTGCTAAACCAAGTGGGATATGACCTTACTCTGGGTATGCAGGGGGAGGGCTGTGCTCCCATTGCTCACCTGGGAAACTATGGCATCAGGCTATGCTGCTAGGTAGGTTCCTTAGCCCTCCTGGTTCACTTGTTGTGTACCATGTTATTTGTATGCCTGTGCCTGCACATTGCAGGGGGTAGTTAAGAGAACCTGCTAGCTCTTTCCAATCTTGAAACCTCCAACCCTGTGTTAAATTCAACCCTTGCACAAAACATGCATAGATGAGCATTTCCAGGCAAACACAAAATGATGTGTCCCCTTGTGATGGGACTGTCAAACTGCTGCCCTGTTCCATGCCAGTGGCGAGCTAGGACTTCCCATGTGAGTGCTGTGTAAAGTTCCCAGGCTCTGTGGTCTGTGATTGTTGCTGGGCTCCTTCAGACCTTGCCTCAGTTTTTCCCATCTGTGAAATGAACTTGAGATCCACCCACCACTGTGGTGATTTCTGATGTGGAATATTGGCTGGATGTCTGCACAGCACTTTTGAGAAGAAAAAATACTGACAGGCTGAGCTGTATCATCAGCTATGAGCTACAGCATTGTTCATAATAATCATCTGCAGCCACTTCAGATATTAATTAGGTACTGTACCTTCAAAGTGTTCTGACTAATTAAGTTTCATGCAACTGCTGTGTAGCAAGTTGCAGTTAATTATCCCCCTTACTTAGATGGAAAAATCTAGGCAGAAGAGGTAAAACATCTCATCCCTGAGTAAGCCAGCATCAAAGCTGGGGCTGCAAACTCACAGGTTCTGGCCAAGTTGTAAGGTTTTGCTGTTACTGCCAGCCTTTGTAGGAAGCAGTACTTAGGTGGAGCCAGTGAGAGATGCTTTTGTTGAATTTTGAGCCTTGCTTGTGCTGAGGGATAGTTTGTCTCTTAAGTTGTTGTACTGGGCGTGAGAGATGAACAGAGAGGGGATAGGGAGTTTAGTGCATAAATTTAGTGCAACAGCAACTATCGGTTTAACGCTGACAACTCTCGGATCAAATGACTGCTGTAAGCTCCTATCTCCCTGCTGCCTGCTTCCCTTCTTATGCACATATGTACTGACCACCCTGCAAAGGCTGTTCATCCATCATTTCTAAATGGTGATAGAGGGCCCAGTCCAGTCTAGCTTTCCTCAGAAGGAGTGATTGGCCCAGCAGTGGAAGAGTCAAGTTTAGCAACTGAAAGTTGGCAGCAACAAGTCTGCTCCCATGAGCAGCTTTCTCTTAGTGGGAAACCCAGCAACTTGTCCGTATACCCTTGCACAGCAGAAGCAGCAGATTTTCGGATTTCCTTTGCTCAGCTGAGGGCAAGCTCCTTCTTGTTCTTCCTGGTACTTTGTTGTCTGTGAATTAAAGGAGAAATGAAAGGTGCTGACCCATGGAAATACAGGCATCTGCTCCTGGCAGGGTGGAAACTTGAGAAAAGAACAGCCACAGACCAAGCACAAATGATACCTCTCCTCTAGCAAGCACAAGTCAGTTCTGTTGCAAAGTTTAGAGATTGTTGACCTGTCAGGTGGGCTGGTGGTGTGAGGAAACAGCTTTCTTTTGGTGGAGTTGAAGGAGCTCGGTGGGAAAAGCAACTGCAAATCCAAGATGTGAATCTGAGCTTTGCCCTGGACTTGTGCTGAAGGCTGATCTTGTTTGGCCTCATTGTAGATGAGGAATACTTAGCAGGGGAGGTCGGAGGGGTCAAAAATGATTAGCTGTTCACTTCTTTGTGTCCTGTTGGTTATGAAAATGGCTATGGCTTAGGTATGTACAAATAAGATTGATACTTAGGCTAGGACGGGCTCTTTCACTCCCCCAAGGTCTAGATGCAGTCTCTCTGGACCTAGTGGCGAGGTTTTTAGATAGGTAGTATGTGGGAAGCTTGTCCTGCCTTTGGACTCGCTCTTTAGACTTCAGAGTTTCATTTCAGGCACCTCAGTTTTTTGTTAGGTTCACTTGTGTTAATGTGGGCGGAAAACTGGGTTTCCCACAGGCCTTTGCATGTGTTCTTTGCAGTATTATGGGAGGAAACCCTGCCACCAAACCTCATACCAGCTGAGCCTTGACTTTCTTGGACTTAATTCTGTGGGAGACCTGAGCTGTTATGACCAGACAATCTGAGTTCAATCTGCTATCGATCAGGCTTGTAAAATACGTTTTTATCCTAACTTGCAACAAAAAAGAACAATGCTGGGTTTTTCACAGGGCAGCCTGACTCTGGGCAGAGGGTTTTACTCTGATATGTTTTCAGAGCAGGAGAACCTTCTGAACCCTTTCATTGTAATGTAGGGTCATTGCTGTGAAGCAGGGAAGGTAAAGGGAGGAATCTTGCTCATGCTTGTATGGCAGAATACAATTTAGATGAGTACTTCTGTAAGCAATAATCCCCCTGCATCTAAGAGTCACCTGTGTGTGCCAAAGACTGGACATGGCACAGCAGCTCCTGTGCCCTATTTGCTGGTGCAGAG